TTTTTTTTTTTTTTTTTTTTTTTACTTTCCATAAGTATGATGAAATTATAAAATTATAAACTCCACAGAAAGTAGTGTAATGATGGCTCTGCACATCTGATTCTCATTAGGAGTCACCATTGTGTTGAGGCTACAGAAATGTACTTGGCTTCTTGTCTACTGCAGTTCTTTGCTTCCCTAATCACTATAGAGGGGTTCAAGCATGTCTGGTAGTGGAGGAAGTGTGTTCTTGCCCCGTCCCCCATCCCCCCCCCCCCCCCCCCCCCCCCCCACTTTATTATCTTTTGTCAGTTATATGTAATTCCTCTCAGGAAAAATCAGTGTGCCTGGCTTTTGGTTTGGGTTTTTGTTTGTTCACCCATTACACCTCTCCCCCCCCCGAATTTAAGGGGTATCTGGGATGTAAAGAATGACAGAATTTAAAATATTTCCACTCACTTTTTTTATGTTAAAGCACTTGGATGAACATCTGAGATTTGATGCTTGCAGGGGTTACTACTTGTGCATTTATTTTAATAGAAGACAAGGGAAAAATAAACATCCGTGTTCAACTCTGAAATGAATGGTTATATTTGTTTTGAGAATTAGGAGTGGATTAGCTTTTTAATAGTGAACAGTCTGCTAAAATTGGTTATGGTAAAATAATTCATTTTAATAAATGAGACTTACAATTTGCTGAATCTAAATGCTCACCAGTTTATATTTAATAGTCTGACTGAAGTTTTGGGTTTTTGTATTTTAATGATACAGGAGGAAATAGCTAAAGACCTCTTGTCAGGTGATGATGAAGAAACACAGTCCTCTGCTGATGACTTGACACCATCAGTTACTTCACATGAGGCTACTGACTTCTTTCCTCGGCCATTAAGATGTAGGAAACCTAATTTTATAATAGTACTCATAAAGTCTTACCATATATTATAAACAATATAGTTTTCTAGTTTAAAATATCAGAATTGCAGAGTGGGATTGAGAAACAGTGCTTTGCAGGATGTTGTATATGAATATTGTCTTTGGTTGGTATTATTGATTACCTAAAAGACCTATATTTAATATGGTGCTCAAAGCACAAGCACAGTTTTTCTAAAAATACAGTAGCTTTTCATAATTAATAGTTAATGTGTGTCAAGGAACACTCTTGGTAATTTTCTGTGCATTGGTGAATGGCATGAATATGTAACCTGTTCTTTTAAATTAGTGTTTCTCTACTAAAATTTTTGCTGCTACTTTTAAGCCAGTGACTCCTCTGTTCAGCCTATGGATGTGAACTGGTGTCTTTGTGATTATTTCCCTTCACATATTCAATGGTTTTCCATAGGAGTTCATGAGCCAGTGTTTTTATATGGGATGGGGCCTATGAACCCATGACCACCAAAATTTCACTACCCATGGAACTATTATGGGAAAGATCCAAGAACCATTGGTTCAGTTATCCAACCTTGACAAGATATTCCTCATTGCTCCAACTCTAGTACATCAGTGAACAAGTGAACTGCAATAGACAATGTGGAGGATTTTTATCACAATTTTAATTTGGCAAGTATTTTGACCTTTTCCTGGGGAACTTCATCCCTCTAGAGAAAGGGGATGATAAAGGGCACATGCTGTCTCAATCATCAGCAATTGTAGCCCTTTGCATGCTGCCGATTGTGTAATGTAAGGCATTTTTGAGAGAGATCCGAAAATCTTTTAAAAAGGGCATTATAATTTTTTAAGCAAACCCCAGTCTTGCTGGCACTTAAACATTGCTTGTGAACTGTTAATGAATATGACACTGAAAGTGTGGCAACTTTATGGAAAGAATTATTAGCCCCTTTATCTTACTCAGGATTAAGAAACAGTCATCTTTGCTTTCAGCTATTGTGGTTTTTCTATCAGAATGTTGCTCTTTCTCTATTAGAACTTTTGGTCATTTTAACATCAAATATCCACCATGTCAGGGAGGGATATGTTAGTTTTCTGTGCTGTTGACAGTTCCATCTTTTTTTTTTTTCTCATCCCTGTCCATTTCTCTTAAAATAACATTCAATTTTAAGATAAACGCAGGCCATTTTGTTAAATTTGGATTCATTGGAAAAAGTAATTGCATATTATTATCCAGGCATATTGCTGTTTCACGCATTCGTGTTAGCTTCTTGCCTCTTTCTAACAGCAAAAAGAGATAGACTGGTGATTCTAGTAATGACTACAGAAGAGGAGCCTCAGTCTATCCATCGTCTTGGATATTGTCATTGATGTTGACGATTATATTTAGTTGTGATGAAGCTAAAATTGAAACCCTATTTATGAACGTGTTATTACTGAAAGTTGAGAATATGAAATAGCTCTTATCAGAACTATAGATTCCATTCTGCTGGGGATAAAATAAAAAAATAGAATTACTTCAGAACCCAGAATCACAGAGTTCCAAATTCTAAAATATGAGTTATTCTGTGGAGTACTGTATTTGAATTACTTGGAGTGCTCTGCTGTATTTCTTCCTAAGGAAAAAAAATATTTAAGAGGAGTAAGCAGTCTTTTGTTATCTTTTGCTTATTCTGTTTTCTGTATATCTACTATATCTTTAGTCCTTGCTGAGGTAGCCTTGTATAAAGGAATGTTTTGAATGTCAATTAAAACTTCAGATGAAAGGCTTCAGTAGGTAATAAAGATTTACATTCAACTTTTTTTGTGATTAACCCATGGCTAAGTCATAGCCCTGGAAGTTTTCTGTTTTTCTCATACCTTTTCTATAAGGTGTAGGCATTTATTGAAGAAAATCAATGAAGAAAAATGATCTAATTTCCTTTTGACTGTTAGAAATATTGTCTTAGTTGCAATAATGGTAAATGTTTCAGTTCTGCAATATGCAAGCACCAATGCTTTCTGACTTCATTCTAGTTTGATAGACATGTAGATCAACAGACTGGTGATGAGTGTCTTCCAGAATAAAAGCAGGGCTCCTTTCAAAAGTAAAGAATATCTTGTAGTTCTGTTTGAACTGAAAATTCTTCCTAGCTAAAACTAACTTATTTGTGTCTGAAGCAAACACTACGTGTGATGGAGATAAGGAATCGGATGGTGAAGACATAGAGGCAGACAATGGTAATTCATCTGAAGATTTGAGAAAGGTAATAACTATATCTTAAGAAAAAGAAAAAGTTAAGAAAACTTTTACTATTTTAAAAATGCATTAACATTTATAGTACATATCTAAAATAGTACCTTAATTTTGAAATTATCTGCAAAATCCCATGTTAATGGACTTTGTAATGCTTCCATGCGCAGAATATTAATACCCTTATGATTTTTGTTTCATCTTCAGGAAATAAAAGTTGGTTCACAGTATCAGGCTGAAATTCCACCTTACCTTGGCAGATACAGTAATAATGAAAAGGGTAAGTTATTCTGTTTTAGTTCTTATATTTATACATAGCAGCTGATGGAAAAATGTTATTTAAATTTATAAGATAAATTCAATGACTTAGTTAAAAAAACCAAACCAACCAAAAAACCCCATGTCAACTGAAGTAATACAACCACATAATTATATCTTAAAAGTGTGATTCTACAACTTTGAGAGGATATTTTAGAGAAGACATAGGAGGGTGGGTTACAGTGTTAATTCTGAAGTATCTAGCAATATTAGGAGGCAAGAAACTGGGTCAAGAAGTAAGTATTTTCATCAGGATATCATAACTGAGCTATGAACGTGTAAGTTTGCATTGAAGAACGTCAGTATTTGTCTTTGCTTCTTTTTTAGCAAGCATGACAGTGTGGGTTACAAAATGGTTGTGAAAAACAAAGCAATGAACTATTTGAATTTTCCATAGCATGAGTAGAAGATGTAGGTCTCAATATACCTTGTCTTTAAAAAAAAAAAAAGATGTTTTAGGTATGATGTTATTGCTGTGTAAATTTAGGTTAAAAACTGAAATTATGCCAGAGTAGAAGAAATAACTTTATTTAATAGAGTTTTATATGGTACCTTTAGAAACCTTCACTGGCTGGAAGCATTAGCAAATTAACATCTCTTGTGTTGCTTAAGAGATCTATGGAAGTTTTCTATTTTCTATGATTTGAGCATGATGCTTACTGGTTGTAAGAAACAGAAGAGTGAAAACCAGTTTTATATGAATAGTCCTTTTACTATTTACACATCTTGACTTCTCCTTGGTCAAGAACTAGAGAAGGGCCAATAACCAGAGGATGATCAGGAAGGCATTAATCTGACAACTTTCACTGGAACAAGCTGGTGCAAGAGAGAACCAGAGAGAGTATTGTTCACTGGCATAGTCAGGAGCAAAGAGGTCTCCCAGGGTCTCCCAGATGGCAGAGCCCGAGGAGTTCCTCTTGAAAACATCAGGTATGGATTCCAGCAAAAAGTGTTGGGTTGTTTTGGTTGATAATGGAGATTGAAGCTGAGCTCAGCAATGCTTGGAGAGGGTGGAAGATTTTGTAGAAGCCTCTTTTGTACTTCCTGAAGAGCTTGTGATGGCAAAGAGGGGCTTATATTTCTGCTGTGAAGTCCCAGGTACTGAAATTGTGCTAGAAAGCAGTTCTGCTCTTCTATAAACCTTACACTTGTAACATGTCTGTCTGTCTGAAAGCTTTCAGTGTTCTTAAGTCATAACAGAACTTTAGGAGGAGATGCGATTTTATTCTTCATCTTAGCTTAATGTTCTTTCCTGCAGTTATATGAGAGATTTGAGAATCTTCTTCATCTCTTCTAGTGGAACTGCCATTATACTTGAGTGTGTTCAAATTTAATAACTCTAATTTATATTGCCAAGAGAGTACATAAAGCATTATGTGTAAACACATCTATTGATCAGAGTAAAGGATTTAGTTTAATCTAGAGTTTAAATGTGTGCATAGACAAGGGTTCAGGCCAACTCTTGAATATTTCCAATATATTTCAAATAAGCTACTTAAGAGGTGCATACATGATTTTAGTATACTATGAAGGAGGACTATACATCCTGATTGCTTGTAAAATAGTTGATAACAACATTCAGTTGTTAGTGGATGCTAAAAGAAATTACCACATTTAGACCTAGATTTCCATTCTGCTAAGTAAGTTTTAGCAAATTTTAGTTGAAAATGACCAGTTAGCTGCCACCTCTTTTTTTTTATTTTATTTTATATGCAGTATTTGAAATATTGAAGTACACTTTTTATTGTAAACTATAGCTTATTTGTTGTAAACATCTGAATAAAACATAGTGGTTTTGCTAGGTTTTTTTTTATATTAAGATTAATACATATGCATAATTTGACTTGAATCATCTACCTGTCAACAACCTGCTCCTCTGTAGAGATTGTGTCTCAAGAGCCAGCCCCTTATCTCATCCTCATGGAACCTAAATCTCTTCACCATACCACACTGCAGTCTCTCTCTAAACTAAGGCTTTTTGGGGAAAAAATGAGCTGCAATTTGGAAGTGGCATGACAGTGCTTGATTTTATTACTTCTGTATTCCTATTCTTTGTGAAATAGCTTTTTATGTTCTAGCCTTAAAAGTGTCACACTTGCCATAAATTAATTCTGTTTTAACAGCCTATGAAAATGAAGACCATTTACTTTGGAAACCTGATGTGATCTCAGAAAGTAAAGTTAAAGAATACCTTTTTGAAACCTCCTTAAGAGCAGGAAATGAAAATATGATTGACAGAATTCCTGAAGGACTACATACACGTGACAATGAACAAGTATATTTTATATCCTGTTCCATTTGTGGCACACTGCTTTGTAATTAATGTGTTCTCTTTCTCTGCCTTGTATTATAAAGGCAGCAATATTTTTTTTTAATTGGATGTTACTGGGGTCAGGATCTTAGTTGTAATTTTAAACACATGCTTAAAATTGAGTATTTGAATGTTGGCAGTGTGATCTATGATGTTTCAAATTGGCATGATGTTGACAAATCCAGCATTATTGCATATAATGTTTTACATTTGCTTAATTAAACCTTGCCTTAATATTTGGATGGTTTTGCCTTTGATTATTTTAACATTTTCATCCTGTATAAAGATATAACCTCTTTTTACATTAGATATGTTCACTGAAAAGCTTGTTTCAGAAATTTATATAGGATATTTGGAAACTTTAACTCTTTCTAAAGACTACTTCTATTTTATAGGCACTATATGAACTTCTCAAAAGTAGCCATAATGTTAAAGAAGCAACTGAGAGATACTGCTCAAATGGAAAGGCATCTCAGGGTAAGAGAGAGTATCTGCTTTTTAAGAAATATGTCTTTGGAAGGGGTAGAAAACACATGAGTAAGATTCAGATTAATAAGCACATCCCTTTCCATGATGTCTTTAGCACAGATTACTCATAGAATCATAGAATATGCTGAATTGGAAGAGACCCACAAGGATCATCAAAGTCCAACTCCTGGCCCTGCACAGGACACCCTAAAAATCCAACCAAACGCTCCTTGAGTTCTGGCAGCCTTGGGGCCATGAGCATTCCCTCGGGAGCCTTTTCCAGGGCATGACCACCCTCTGGGTGAAGAACCTTTTCCTAATATCCAGCCCAAACCTCCCCTGATACAACTTCAGACCATTCCCTTGGGTTCTGTCACTGATCACCAGAAAAGAGATGAGTACCTCCCCCTCCTCTTCCCCTCACAAAGAAGTTGTAGACTGCAATGAGGTCTGACCTCAGTCTCCTCTTCTCCAGGCTGAACAAGCCAAGTGACCTCAGCTGCTCCTCATACGGCTTCCCTCAAGGCCCTTCACCATCTTTGTTGCCCACCTTTGGGCACTCTATTAGCTTTATATCTTTTTTATATTGTGGTGCCCAAAACTGCTCCCAGGACTCGAGGTGAGGCCATCCCAGTGCAGAGCAGATTGGGACAATCACCTCCCTTTGACTGGCTGGCAATGCTGTGCTTGATGCACTCCAGGACACAGTTGGTCCTTCTGGCTGCCAGGGTACTGCTGACTCATATTCAACTTGCCATTAACCAGGACACTCAGGTCCCCTTCTGCAGCACTGCTTTCCAGCATCTCGTTCCCCAGTCTGTCCGTACATCCAGGGTTGCCCCATCCCAGGTGCACATTCCAGGGCTTGCCCTTGTTGAACTTGATATGGTTGGTGATTGCCCAGTCCTATAATTGGTCAAGGTCTCTCTGCAGGGCCTCTCTGCCCTCAAGGGAGTCAACAGCACCTCACAGTTTTGTATCATCTGCAAACTTACTTAGCATCCCTTCCAGTCCTGTGTCCAAGTCATTAATGAAGGTGTTGAAGAGCACAGGGCCTAAGATGGAGCCCTGTGGAACCCCACTAATGGCGGGTGGCCAGTCTGATTTCACCCCATTGACTATAACCCTTTGATCCCAACCCATGAGCCAGTTGCTCACCCATGATGTGTTTATCCAGCTGTAGGCTGGACATTTTGTTCAGAAGGATCTTGGGAGAGAGTATCAGAAGCTTTATGGAATCAAAAAAAATTATATCAATTGGCTTCCTTTGATCAACTAGGTGGGTAACCTTGTCATAAAAGGAAATCAGGTTTGATAAGCAGGACTTTCCTCTCTTGAAGCTGTGCTGGCCATGATGGCTGTGATCGATGACTGCATTGTCCTTCAGATATTTTTCAATAATTCCCATTAGGTATATAATTCAGATTAGGTATAATCTGACTGTTGGCCAGATTTCTGCTAGAGAAGTTTGTAATTTGTATAAAGGTTGCAGGATCAAATTTTACACATTTTCTTTCCTTCTTTTATCCATTTTTTTTTTCTATTTTAAGAATGATACAGACTGAGGAGAAGGGGGAGAGTTGTAATTTTGCTCCCATAAGGCAGTTCTCCCACACATTACAGTACCTTTTTGAGATAATGATCAATTATAAACTAATCACATTTATATGAGAATCAGAACATAGCTGATAATATGAGTGAGCCCCACTCTTCATCACTGTGCTAACATTGTGCTGTGTCAACCCTAAACTTGGTTCTACTGTATAATTCTCTAGGTCTATGGTAGAGTGTGGAGAGTTTTGCTTGAGTTTACAGTGGAAAATAATTTTGTTTGTCCCTAACTTTATTATTCCCCTAAATAAAAATCAGTGTATAATTTAGCAAAGAGTTCTTTGTCTTGTAGTTTGACACATGTTCCATAAAGCAGAAATGGCCTATGAGCCCTGGTATAAGTTTATATTCTGGCAGATATTCCTTACTCAGACCTGGATCCAAGCGGGAATTGAATGTTTCTGAGTTAGGTACTCTGAAAGCTTAAGTATCTAAGATAAAAGTGAAGGGAACAATAAGGAATATAGAGCAGTGTTTCAGAAAGCTCTTTTATGAGAGATTGTGTGTTAGAGACCCAAATTCTGTCTTAAGGACTAGTGCTCATCCTCTCCCAAGCCTCAAGTCAGATGGGGTTTCTGTCCTCATTAAAAATGGTAGAGGATGATAATACTGTTGATGCCTGTCTCTTAGAATAATCATTGTGCAATGATCTATACCCACTGAAGTTCACTGCTATTCTCAATATGCATTGAAAATCGACATCTCCCAAGATAATTTCATAACAGTGAGACTTTACATGTGGATCTCCTCTTTGAAGCTTGAGAATTCTGTAGTAAGGAGTACAAAATTAATGGACTTGTAGTGGAATGATTATCACTTTCATCTGAAAGCAGCAAGGTCTTTGTTCCAGTGTCTGCTTCCAGAAATGCTTTGGAATGTGATTGTTGGTTGCTTTTGTTCTCCACCCTCATTGGCTTTAAATGACAACTGAACAGATCACTACTATGAATGTAAGATGCCTGAAATATCCCTCCTTTATTATATATAGACACAAAGCCATAATCAAGATAGGGAAGCAACAATACTTGAGACAAAACTGACCTACTCAAATAGTTTGAGCTACTTTGTTTTAAAGCTTTTATTCCTTTGTAGTGTTTTTTGTTTTGTTTAATTTGTAAAACTAAAATTCACTTCTGTCTTTAAAAAATCAGAGGTTGTTCCTTCACTCTTTTGTTCCAACAGTCACTGTTTGTATCTGATGCAAGAAGGAATATTCAGAAAAATAATAATGTTAACAAATCTTGGGGTTTTTTTTATGACAAAATTCTTAAGAAATAATAAATAAAGTCTCTTGAATGTCCTTTGCCCTCCAGGGTGAAATACTTCAGTAATCAGACTCTTTTATGAGTCTTTATAAGCAGGAATACTATATTTCAGGTAGGATATCTTTACATTAGAGGAAAGAATATGGGTCAAAATAACTGAACTGTTGCATTTTTTTTAGAGTGTGTTTGGATGTTCAGGCATTAGCAACACAAAGATTAGTGAGTGAAAATAAGTTTATCATGCTACTTTTGCAATTGTCTAGAAGAGATGACAGCATGGACAGAAGAAGAATGCAGAAGCTTTGAACATGCACTTTTGATTTATGGGAAAGACTTTCATCTCATACAGAAAAACAAGGTTAGTATTTTACAGTTAAATGGAAGATTTTGTAGATTATATGATGCTGAATGTTTGTAAAAGCAATGCTTTTTCAGAAGCTATGCAAAAGAGTGAAATAAGAGCCAACATATTAAAACCAGCTTGATGTTTCCATGCTAATTTTGCCTCTGATGCCATTGAAAAGCTAGGTGTTGCAACATGAGTCAGTATATTATCTATGAAATCAACTCATGTTGATATTGCTTCCATATATGCATTTATGTTAAAATTTAGATTAAATGTCTGCCTCTCCTAGAGGTGTGTGATGTTCATACCATGTCTGTGGGAGGGGAAAATACATCTTTAATTATTTTTGTCACTCAGAAGGTGTAATTCTACAGAAACAGGCTTAGCTCTTTGTGTTTTCAGAAAGTTTAGTCATCCATCAGTACTCTGGTTTCTGACCAACAAAGGAGTTCTAATCTTGATCTGAATTGCTTCTGATTAACTCCTCTGTGCCTGAAGATTAGAAATTGGGCTTTTTTTTAAATTAAGTAAATGTATCATTTGGTACAGTTACCAGTATGTGTGTTTCCAAATTTTCTGTACATGTCCTGTATGTTTTGATACCACCTTGAGGTTTCATACTGGTTGTGACTGGGATAGAGTTAATTTTCTTAATAGTAGCTAGTATGGGCTATGCTTTGGACTTGTGCTGGAAACAGTGTTGATAAGACACTAATGTTTTAGTTATTGCTGAACAGAGCTTATGTAGAGTCTAAGCCATTTCTCCTCAGACTATCCTGCCAGTGAGGAGGCTGGGGGTGCACAAGGAGTTGGGAGGGGACACAGCTGGGACAGCTGACCCCAACTAACAGGGGGGTGTTCCAGACCATATGACATCCTGCTCAGTAATAAAACTGGGGGGTGAAGGTTGGTGGGTGGGGGCTGCTGTGGATTGAGAACTGGCTGGGCATCAATTGGTTGATGGTGAGCCATTGGGTTTTTATGCATTGCTTGTTTTTCTTGGGTTTTATTTTCGTCTTTTTTAGCAATTTTTTTTTTTTTAATTAGTAAACTGTCTTTATCTTAACCCATGAGTTTTCTCACTTTTGTCCTTCTAATTCTTCCCCCCGATCCCACTGGATGGGGGAAGTGAGCAAGCAGCTCTGCGGTGCTTAGTTGCTGGTGGGGGTTAAACCACAACAAGTCTTTTCTTTAGGAGACTGGTGCTTTTGTTGTATTTCAGGTAAACATTATAGGGTTGTAGTTGCTGTTCAACAACAGTCAGTTAATCCTGTTCAACACTTGGCTTAACCTGTCCAATGCTAAATATCTTGGTGGTTCAATTTTTAAATGGACCTTACCCATAAACAGAAATTCACCAGCGATACAAATAAATAATTTTAATTTTTTTTCCCAAAGTGCAACAAAGCATATGAGTTGGTCTGTCACTATGGACCAGAATTTTCCAAGTACCCAATGTCTTTTCTGCTTCACTTCTCTTGGGTCATTCAGTTGCTCAGTGTTTTACTTCTTAACAGAGTCTGTCCCATAGTTTAAAAAATTGCTATGTAAGTTATGAATTTAAATGCTTCAGATGTAGATACAGTTTCAGTCTAGTTTAAAAAACCAAACCTAAACAACAATAATGCATACAATAGAACAGATGTAGTAATTATTTAGAATAGAATATACTGTTTCAGTTGGATGGGACCTACAACGATCATCTAGTCCAACTGCTTGACCACTTCATGGCTTGCCAAAAGTTCCAGCGTGTTTCTAAGGGCATTGTCCAAATGCCTCTTAAACAATGACATGCTGAGGCATCGACCACCTCTCTAGGAAGCCCATTCCAGTGTTTGACCACCCTCTCGGTAAAGAAGTTTAAAACTCTAGATCTCTTTTTCAGGTCTTCTGATTTAATTTGTTTGTTACAGATACTAGAACAGTAAAAGGGACAATATTGCAGGAATATGGGGACTGGGGAGATGACAAAATATAATGCTTTGAATTTATCTTGTCAATTCTTCTTGCCTTCTTTTAGGTAAGAACCAGAACAGTTGCTGAGTGTGTGGCTTTCTACTACATGTGGAAAAAATCAGAACGTTATGATTACTTTGCTCAGCAAACAAGATTTGGAAAGAAGAGGTATAACCATCATCCTGGAGTTACGTAAGTAAAATGTCCCTGGAATACGTTTTCTGTTGCAAATTGTAAAAGATAAGTTTTTCTTCCCATCATTGCAGTGTAAAGCTGCAGTGGCTATGGCAACTGAGAATAAATCCATCATCATTTTTAGGCCTTGTTTTCCTGTTAAATAACCTATTATGAATGTCATATTCTTAAAGGGACTACATGGATCGTTTGGTAGATGAAGCAGAAGCTCTTGGTGGAGCAGTACATTCTTCAGCCTTAACATCTAATACTCGAACAGAAAGCATTCCTGATCAACAGCTAAGCCTTCTGAACTCTATCACTGCCAATGAGTTGACAGGTAAATCACGGGAAAAAAAAACCAAAGAAAACCCACAAACTTTTTGTTGTAACTATATAAACAACTATTTCATTTACGTTTTATGTTCATCTGTTTTCCAGCACTGACAAACACTGTAGCTACAGTCTGTCACACTTCGGCTGTGAACTGCCTGGATGATGCCTTCCCTCCTATGGACAGCTTACCCCGAGCACCAGTAGTTAATCATGTGCCTGTTGGAACAGAAGAATTGCTTAACTTGCCTAGCAATGGTGAAAGTGATTGTTTTAATTTATTTGAGACTGGCTTTTATCATTCAGAGCTAAACCAAATGAACATGTGCAGTGAGGAAGCAGAGAGACCTGCGAAGAGACTGAAAATGGGGATTGCTGTCCCAGAATCTTTCATGAATGATGTCTCTGTAAATAACCTTGGTGTGGACTTTGAGAACCACACACACCATATTGCCAGTGCCAAAATGGCTGTTTCAGTGGCTGACTTCAGCAGTCTATCTGCAAATGAGACAAATGGTTTTATAAATACCCATACTCTTCACCAACATACTGCCCTTCACTCAGAATGACTGTGGAAAACTAAAGAGTGGGTACTTTATGCAGTAGTAGTAAACTTGATGGGAACTATCAGGTTTGCTTAATCTTTCACTGGAAGTTTGAACTTTGACATCAGTGATGTCTTTTTATGTATAGAACTATATCTTGATTTACCAAGAGTAATTTCTTTTTTCAGTCCATAAATGTGGAAATGTTTGGCAGAGTTTGGAACTAAGAGAACTCTGTGGTGCAGCTTTAGGCTCTGCTTCAAATTTATTTTAAAGCCTGTAGAGAGAGGCCACCATTTCAAAACCAGCACGGAAGTTCTGAACTGATTGGAGTGGCTTTTTAGTCAAAGTTACTTTTGCCATAATGGATGCAGTGTAATAACAGTGTTTACAGGTACCATTCCTGATCCCTGCTCAATGTAGCATTTTAATTTTTTTTTTTCTTATAAAGGCAGGGATGGATTTCTTTAACTTAAACTGCACAAACATAAAAGGATGTTTTTTAAATGGAACCTTCTCTCATGTGATACTAAATTAGAGCACTTCAGTTTAACAAAAACCAGCAATTTCATCTTGGTGGAAGCTAGCACAAGAGACATAACATGAATAAATTATGAAGACCTACACTTGGAGGCTGTTGCAAAATTATAGGCCATGACTACCTTACACAGAAGTAATTATGCTGCCAGAGGTATCTGTGTACTTTAAACTTACTGGCTTAAACAGATATATTTTAGGCTATTGTATTCAGATGAGTTTTGTCCACAACTTTGAAGATTAATGCACCTGTGTAACTTAACTTTCCTAAGACAGGACTACATATTTCGATGTCAGACGACACCTTAGGATTTACCACTAAACAGACTGCATTTTGGAAGACAAATTGTTTGGAGCACTGCAGTTCAATGTGTTACAGTTTTGTGGGGCTATCTAGTTGATATAGAAGTAGTAGAACCTTGAAGTATGTATTTGAAAGTTTTTCTTCAGTGTGGATTGCATTTGTTTAGCAAGTCATTAGCTCAAAAATAGCACTTCACTACTTTTAGTCAAATAGAAAAGGATGAGTAAAAATGTCTCCCATAAAAGCAACTATTTAAATTCAATACATTTTTATTTTGACCATTGAGTGCAATTTAGCCATTCGTTAAGTTTTCTTTAAAATGTTAGCTCTAATTCTTGTGGGAGAACATCAGTAGGATTACCCCTTTCCCTCCATACTTTTTCTTTGCATTGTTCATATTACAAATTTAATTGCTACAAACTTGTTTTGATTATTAAAGTGATTAGGCTTGCATTGTTGATATTTGTACTAGTTGCTTCAAGGTTATGCTGAGTAATTAGAAAGTAGAGACCTTAATATTACTTTCCCTTCTCCCATAAATAAATGCTTACTGTGAATTGCATTGACATCCTGAGTTATGGATGCAGTGTATGGAGTTTTCTTTACAACACTGCAATGAAGAGTAAAGCATTTATGCAATAGCAGATTTAGCATATTAAAACAAATTGGTTTATCACAGTGGACAAAAGTAAAGATAATTTCATAATCAGTTCTTAACTTATGCATCTGAAATATGGAATTCTAGTAAGTACACAATAAACAATGGATAGCCTTGGCTCTGTGTTGTATTCTTACATTTTTAGCCAAGTTGTCAGCTTCTTGCTGCTGTGTTTTGTGCTGAACTGTGTACCTTGTTTCTTTTCTTTATGAATCAACATATTTTATGTAATTTTGTAAAATACTGGTCATAATCCTTCATTGTTATACATTCAGGTCTATGGGTTTACAGTGAATGGCTGGTCTGTATAAAAATCATTATACAAAGATGACTGAATGCTTATAACAGTTGCATTTAAATGAACATGCCCATTCTCATTAGCTGATGCAGTAATATATTCAATTTATCTATGCATTGCTGGGCTCTTAATGTAGACAGATACTTGTCTAAGGCTTGGGTTGTCAGCAAGTTGAATGGACACTTTAGTTATTTAATAAAGACTTGCTGATGTATAAAGCTACAGTCTGCACACCTTAGGATTTACCACTAAACAGACTGCATTTTGGAAGACAAATTGTTTGGAGCACTGCAGTTCAATGTGTTACAGTTTTGTGGGGCTATCTAGTTGATATAGAAGTAGTAGAACCTTGAAGTATGTATTTGAAAGTTTTTCTTCAGTGTGGATTGCATTTGTTTAGCAAGTCATTAGCTCAAAAATAGCACTTCACTACTTTTAGTCAAATAGAAAAGGATGAGTAAAAATGTCTCCCATAAAAGCAACTATTTAAATTCAATACATTTTTATTTTGACCATTGAGTGCAATTTAGCCATTCGTTAAGTTTTCTTTAAAATGTTAGCTCTAATTCTTGTGGGAGAACATCAGTAGGATTACCCCTTTCCCTCCATACTTTTTCTTTGCATTGTTCATATTACAAATTTAATTGCTACAAACTTGTTTTGATTATTAAAGTGATTAGGCTTGCATTGTTGATATTTGTACTAGTTGCTTCAAGGTTATGCTGAGTAATTAGAAAGTAGAGACCTTAATATTTGAAAGGGAAGAGGGTATTTATTATGCTTACTGTGAATTGCATTGACATCCTGAGTTATGGATGCAGTGTATGGAGTTTTCTTTACAACACTGCAATGAAGAGTAAAGCATTTATGCAATAGCAGATTTAGCATATTAAAACAAATTGGTTTATCACAGTGGACAAAAGTAAAGATAATTTCATAATCAGTTCTTAACTTATGCATCTGAAATATGGAATTCTAGTAAGTACACAATAAACAATGGATAGCCTTGGCTCTGTGTTGTATTCTTACATTTTTAGCCAAGTTGTCAGCTTCTTGCTGCTGTGTTTTGTGCTGAACTGTGTACCTTGTTTCTTTTCTTTATGAATCAACATATTTTATGTAATTTTGTAAAATACTGGTCATAATCCTTCATTGTTATACATTCAGGTCTATGGGTTTACAGTGAATGGCTGGTCTGTATAAAAATCATTATACAAAGATGACTGAATGCTTATAACAGTTGCATTTAAATGAACATGCCCATTCTCATTAGCTGATGCAGTAATATATTCAATTTATCTATGCATTGCTGGGCTCTTAATGTAGACAGATACTTGTCTAAGGCTTGGGTTGTCAGCAAGTTGAATGGACACTTTAGTTATTTAATAAAGACTTTTGACCAAAATTCAGAAAATTATGGGAGAAAAATTAATTTCAGCTAGTCTAATAGATTTTTAAATGCTGATCTTATTTAGCTTGTTGGCTAGCTAGCTGTTATTGTTTACTTTTAATTCCTTGTTAAAATGAGGCAATAATTCGCAAGATTTTGTAAATATTTAATTATTCATATCTTTTTAGATATCTATTTCAATATTTTCTGACTACTTGGTCTATGGGTTTACAGTGAATGGCTGGTCTGTATAAAAATCATTATACAAAGATGACTGAATGCTTATAACAGTTGCATTTAAATGAACATGCCCATTCTCATTAGCTGATGCAGTAATATATTCAATTTATCTATGCATTGCTGGGCTCTTAATGTAGACAGATACTTGTCTAAGGCTTGGGTTGTCAGCAAGTTGAATGGACACTTTAGTTATTTAATAAAGACTTTTGACCAAAATTCAGAAAATTATGGGAGAAAAATTAATTTCAGCTAGTCTAATAGATTTTTAAATGCTGATCTTATTTAGCTTGTTGGCTAGCTAGCTGTTATTGTTTACTTTTAATTCCTTGTTAAAATGAGGCAATAATTCGCAAGATTTTGTAAATATTTAATTATTCATATCTTTTTAGATATCTATTTCAATATTTTCTGACTACTTGTGTGTATAGTAACATTTTTGTGCATGCTTGATGTGACATTGATAAATTTGTACCATGATAACTTTATCCATGTAAAATAGCTATTTATTGAATTTTTCATTTAGAAGCTGGACTTAATTATTTTTCTCTCAGTTGAAACATTTAAAATGGAGAACTTGTTACTGTTTATTAAAAGAATTGTCTTTTGAAAGTCAGCATGAAAACAACTGAATTGCAACCATATGAAGAAATTATATTACCTTGATTCTTTGATGGTGAAGCACAATTCTTATAACAAACTGTGATGAATTCTTTGTCCTCTGCTATACTTGTTTTTCATGCAAACAAACCAAAAATCCATAACGGGAAATTGCAGTGTTGGTAAATGTATCCTTTTAATGTACAGGGAATCTGAAGGGGGTAGCTGATTCATTTAGAAGTGTAACTTGGTGCTGTGATTATAGCAATACTTTTACTTTGGTTACTCATATGTCATCTTCTCATGTTAGGTTTTTAAAGGTTTAGTTTTCCTCTTGCCATGGTCAAAGTACTAAATTGTGTACTATTAGGTCAATGAATTGTGTAATTGTTTCCTGGTTTTAAGTTTTAAAACTGAGGATCAAAAATGTATGAAAACTTCAGATCAAGTAGAACATAATGATAGTACTTAATTTAACCAAAGTCTTTAGGTAAGTATTTCAACTTTGAATGTAAACTAATGTATAAACTGACCAACAGGGACACTATTTGCCCAGCACTACAAGCACATTGTCTACAGATGGGGAAGCTAAATACAGTAATTTATAAAATAATGACAAGGTTACTATTTTTTTATTCCTATTTTTCATTGGAAGAAGGAAAATGCTATCAATTGTAAAATACAGAAGGTATGGTTATAGTCCTCTTAATAAAACAGATTCCAGTTATTCGAAGTACCTTGTGCATAACAACAAATTTCGTGACAATCGGGACATGAATTTAATATCAGATGTTCAAGAGGAAGTCGCTATTGTTGCATTGGTTTTAATATTTGTACATAAACACTGATTTTTATTTTTTTTAACATTATTTTCTATTTGTTGTACTTTAATACCTGGTGTACAATTCCAGAAATAAATGTCTGGGAACTTTTCTTTATTTGTGATGCAGATATATGAAAAGCTTGGTTAGCTACTTTCTTTTCAGAAATACACAGCAATACCTCTGAACACATTTTAAGATACTCTGGGTCCTCCTGAAGTGCACACTACCACTCTATAAGCAGTTGGGAGAAGTCTCACATACATTAATTACCCTTTGCTCTTGCAGGGGACTTCAACTTACCAGATGTCTGCTGAAAATACAATGCAGGGGAGAGGAAACAGTGTAGGAGGTGGTGTGGTGTGGTTTAACCCCAGCCGACAACTACGTACATGCAGGAATAATCCAGACTGTATTCCCCAGCATGTTTTTAATGTGCACTACAGGAACTTTATCCCCTTCCACAGTACATAAAAGTTTTGATTGGGCAGGGCCAGTCCAATTGGCAGATCCTCTGGTGTTGACTAACCAGATGCCTTTTGTTAAATGTGTATTCCAATGTTTGAAGGTCCCACCAGCCATTGCTCTCAGTGTCATCTTTAACAGTCCATTATATTTTTCAACGTTTTTAGAGGCTGGTGCATGATAGGGAATGTGATACACCCACTCAGTGCTATGTTCTTTGGCCCAAATGTCTATGAGGTTTTTTCAGAAATTAGTCTTGTTATCTGACTCAGTTCCTTCTGGTGTGGCATTTTGCCATAAGACTTGCTTTTCAAGGCCCAGGACAGTATTCGGGGCAGTGCCATAGGGCACAAGATATATTTCTAGCCATCCTGTGGTTACTTCCAGCATTGTAAACACATGGCACTTGCTGTCATGGCTTTGGGGGAGTGTGATACAGTCAATCTGCCAGGCCTCTCTATGTCGCTATAGAGCGTGACACGGCACAAAGCACCCAG